CCAGAGTGGGGAAGCTAAGGCCCAGGAGCTGAATACAGCCCCCAGGCTGCCTGGATCTGGGCCCTGGTGCTCCAGCCCCTCTGCTACCCCCTCTCTCCGCGGGGCTGGAGCACACAAAATCTACTAGCCTGGCCCCACTAGTCTCTGGTGTGCGAGGGGAATGTGGGGAGTGTCCTTCTCTTACCGTGGGATTGTAGTAGGAGGTATGGGGATTAGTGTTGTTTCACTGACTATTGCTACAGAAGGTTTCCAAATAGCATTTTACAAAAGAGGAGGTAATCTTGACACCTCCCCAAAAAGCAGTATAACCACTTCAGTTTTGCTGCATGGGGCGGGACAGACCATAAAAAACACATGCGAAGGGACTCCACATCCCTACATTCTCCAGTGTATGTGCATGATCAATTAGCCAAACCCACCCTTCAGGCTCCATCTACTCACAAGTTAATGGAGACCAGTTGTATTAGAAAGCTGCTACAGACTTTGAAGTTACATAAGCTTGCATTTAAGCCTGATTAAGACATGCCATCAGGGGCAGCCCTAGACTAGCTGCCAGCAACTGGCGCCCTAGGGGAACCATGCAATCAGCGCACACCCACCCCCCAAACCCAAAGGGCAGATATAGGCTGAGGTTTTTGGTTCTGTGGCTGGGGAGAAGGGAGCTAGGGATGGAGTTCTGTGGCTGGGGAGAGGGGTCTAGGGATAGAGTTCTGTGGCTCCTCAATGATATTTTTGAGAATGAATAAACGCAGGCTTTATTATTCATTACCCCTACCTTGTCCCACTATTGAGCCCCATCGCAATCTTAGATCTCACTTGGCAGCTCTTCATGCAGGAAAATATGGAACAATCACAACCTCTCCTATAACTGCTGCCACTGCTCACTCCCAATAATTAGCTACATATACGGGCTCAATGAAACCACAAAACTAACTCTGGCTTCCTTTTTGGGTAGCCAACTTTCCTGCACGGATGGACTGTATGCCATTTGTAGCAACAGCGTCCAGTCTGTCCTGTCAGGAAACTTGGCAACCCTATTCATTGCCACCCTCAGAAACCACCATTGCCATCTTTTCCCTCCCAATACACCTAAGTATGCTACAGCTACATGACATACTAGAGGAAGAAGGCACACACTAGATTCTGGACCCCCTTTTACCAACTGTATAATGCAGAGTGATGATTGATCACAATCATTTTATTTTGCTGTGGGTGACACAGCCTCACTGTGACAATGCAGTGAGGAGTAAAATCTCTTTCCCAGCCCAGCTTTTTGTTTTGACCAGTTATTCCTTTTATAAACCCCAGACAGTGTGTCTTTAACACAGGCCGTTGTAAATCTGTATTTAATAAACTTCAGCGACAAGTTACAAAAGCCCTAGGAAGTTCCGCAGCATGTTTATTTCAGTAGCTCTGTGAATGTTCTGACCGTTAGCTGACCTTGCTTCCTGACATATGATGACCCACCAAAGCATTTGTCAGATGCAGTGTTTTGCTAAATTTAAAAATTTCATTTCACATTCTACATCTGCTTCCTCCCCATCTGATGTGTGTCACCCCTAAAAAAGCAGGTGTTTCCAAATTCTCTGTCAGCACTGATCATGCCATCCTATTATGCAATTTAAAAGTAAGGGCAGATCCTCAGTTGATATTCTGGTATGGTGGGGGTCTGGCGAGCTCAAGCTTTGGTACCCCTCCTGGCATTGTGCAGTAATTTTTATTGTCAGAAGGGGAGTTGCAATGCAGTGAAGGTTGAGAACGCCTATACCAGACCCTCGGGTGCTTCTAATCAAGTATTTGTTGACTCTGTTCCCTAACTTGAAATATTTGCAGAATATATCAGGTGATAGGAACCATGGGAGATTGATATTTTAACATAAAGTGATAATTTATCTGTAAATGCCTCCCTAAAGTTGCTGTGTAGACATAGCCTTTTCTGAGGCATAACGGCTTTTAGCACTACAGCTATTGCACAAGAAGGCACGTGTGAATGCTCCAGAGGGTTTTCTTGCACAGGAACCCCCTATGGGAAAATGCACAGGTGCTCTGATGGCCATTCTATAAATGGCCATCAGAGCTTTCTTGTGCAAGAACGTCCGTGCAGTGTGGACGCTCTCTTTTGTAAAAGCACATGGCTTCTGCGATGTGCTTTGAGGTGGCTGTGCTCTTGCGCAAGAAGTTTTTGTGCAAAAGCTCTTGTGGAAAAGGCTTCTTGCACAAGAAGCACGTAGTGTAGACGTAGCCTTAGCATCCTAACCAGAGTAGACAAACTGAGCCAATCCACCTGTGGTGAAAGAAAGACTTATGCCTACTTCCTCCTAAGTTGAATTTGGCCCCAGGTGAGAACAGGGGAAGAAAAACATGACTAATACTGTCTCAGTGAAAATTGCTGGTGCTCTTGATAATCTGGTATTGGAGCACTGCTTGTTTTTCTCCAGTGCTACACTGATTCTTTCTCATAGAAATGGAAGTGTGTATGTGGCAAACTGTATTATCTCTGGGAAATAAAATGAACTATAAGATTGGGCAACTTTAATAACATCCATTATCTTCCATGGGACCTCACAGCAATTAATAAAGGCAGGAAACATATTCACACCAAAAGTCACAATCCTCAAAATGCCCTATTTATTGCAACCTCAGAATTGGTCCCTTTTAGCACATTACCATGATGCTTCATGACATGGTGACTTTTTGACACCGCATCATTGCATTCTGTTCAAATGTGCTGTATTGACACGATGTTATCACACTGCAACTTAGTGTGTTGGCAGTTTGACATCACATTAATACACTGAGTCTGAAGAACGTGACAGTTTTTTGACAACATGCCATGTTGCAGCAGATAAACTTTCATCTTACCACCTGATGGCACAGTGCTGCATTCTGTCACCGTCACTGCTGGAGGGATCTGTACTTGTAGCCATTCATCTACCCCAGACCTCAAACGTTTCTCATTCCAAGGGACACCACTCCTTTCTACTCCAAAGTTCCCTACATTCCACACAAATTTGATTATCTCCTCACTTTTGTTGTAAAATTATGTTTGTTCAGAATAGCAAATCTTTACACCAGGGTAAACTTAAAAAACAACAAATGGTCTGGCAGCACTTTATAGACTAACAAAACATGTAGACAGTATCATGAGCTTTCATGGGCACAGTCCACTTCTTCAGGTGCTTCTTCATGATACCATCTACATGTTTTGTTAGTTTATAAAGTGTTACCAGACCATTTGTTGTTTTTAAGTTTATCCTGTACAGACTAACTTGGCTACCCGTCTGCAGCTCCTTTACACTAGGGGTACATCTACTCTGCACACTTAGGGAACAGGTACACTGCACTGCAAACTTGAAATAAGATACGCAATTTGCACTATGCAAATTGCACAGCTTATTTCAAGTTTATTTCTAAATAAGGCGCTATTTTGAGACATCCCTTATCCCTCATACAACAAGATTTACAGGGATGCCGAAATAGCACGTCTGCTATATTTCGAAATAGCAGACGCATTCAAAAAACGCGGAGTAGCTATTTTGGAATAGCTTATTTCGAAATAGCACATCTAGACTGCGGGGAAGCCTCCAAATTAGTATGAGGCAGGCTTCCCTAATGTAGGTATACTCTCTTGATTTAAATCTCCAAGAGGCACTGAGGAGGAATAACTTAGAATGGCCCTAGTGAGGAACTATTTCGAAATAGCAGCAGTGGAGAGTCTACACATGCCTTATTTCGAAATACCTATTTCAAAATAGGTGTTTTTCTTCGTAGAATGAGGTTTACAGATTTTGGAGTAAGTCGTCCATTATTTCGAATAATTTCAAATTAACAGAATGGCTGTGTAGACACTTGCATTGTTATTTTAAAATAACTCTAGTTATCTTAAAATAATGGTGCAGTCTAGACACACTCTAAGGTGACACAGGAATCTGGGCAGTTCTTTGTGGGTTTTATGCCAAAGAAATGAATCTCATAGCATTTTAAGTTTTTAGCATGATTCATTCAGAAGCGTGTGCTGTGCCCTGTTGGTCACTTTGGCTCCTTACATACTACAACTTGTATTCTGATCTTAACAGGTGAGCTGTCACCTGGGCTGCCAGGATCTTGACTTAGCCTGGGGGTGTTTTGCCACCACTTATGGTATCACCTCAAGTGCAGGAGTGTTTCCCCTGGGGTAGCATTCTACTGTGTAAGAGATATTGTGTCTGGCTTGTGGGGCTCACATAGCGCACTTAACCTGCCCCACACAGACCTTCATCACCTTGCCTTGAGCTGATGCCAGCCCAGTCTCCATCCCCATGGCCCCTGGTCCCCCCTCAGCCCTGCCTATTCCCCAACCCCTCCCCCATCCCTCACTACCCCAGGCCACCCAGAGGCTCCGAATACGCAGCATCCCCCTTACTCACACCCCTCCCCCTCCCATTCCTGTGCCCGCGTCCCACCCGATAGGCTGCCAAAGGCCTGGC